CCCCGCAACCCCCAAGCAGAACAAGCAAACCGTGAATGCCGCTGCACCGTCCTACTCTGGGCGACAGCTGCCGTGCCGAACCCAGCCGAGCCGCACCTATTCGCTGCCGTCTAGGACGCGGCTCACGGAGAAGGTGCCGGGCTCCAGGCGGGGCTCGCATTCCAGGTCCCCCTTTGTGCTCTCGCTGCTAGACAGGCACCCCAGGTCGGAGTCCTGGCTGCTGGGTGGCGAAAACACTGAGAGTGAGGAAAAGAAAGAGAAAAAACACAGCGTCTGAGACACACACACCTGCCTGATCAGAGGGGACCCACGCGTGTCTCCCCTTCCCAGCAAGAGGGGGCGAGGGGGGGGGTCCCCCTGCATGGTGCAGTGTTGGCCTTTCTCCTCCGGCCAAGGTGAATGCAGAGGGAATAAAGAAGGGGAGAACGACCTCAGGCCTGAAGGCCACAACCCCTCCACCCCTCAGAAACTAACCTCTGCCTTACAGACCCTATGGCCCTGGTTAGGGCAGGTTGAGGCTAAGGCCACATACTAGAGAATTTAAAACTAATACAGCGCTAAGAATCATTGCAACATTACAATTTGCAGTAGATACAAAAACCAAGTAAAAGGGTCTCTGACCTTCCTAACCTTAGATGAGTTGAGATCCACCCCCAACACTCCCTTCCTGCCTACAGTGAATATAATTAAGGGGAAGCTGCAGTGGTAATTTCTCTCCTCATTAACTTCCTGATTGGTTTCAGGCTCAGGATTCCAGCGGGCGGCAGTTTGTCACCAATTCCAAATGGCCAATCGTTAATACTAATGTTTGTGTAACTAACTGCCAGCATCTGCCACGTCTTCTTGTACAACAATAATAGTGAAAGGGTAACATTAGTGCTTCCCGTGTTAATTCAGATTCTGTTCATCAATAGGAAAATCTATGATGTAATTAGCAAAATGCATTGGTAGTTGAGGCAGTCGGAGGGAACTAAATCACAGTGGGAGCTCCACAGGCCCCTGACACCTTAATCATCAATACTTATTATGTTCTGGATTTTACAGTTTAGTGGAGAGTATTACCAGGCTGTGATCTTTTAAAAGAGAATATTGTTTACAACCATTGTTTGTTTTTTAGAAGCCATGATGAATCTAATACAACTGCGCAAGAATGGGTTGAGGCTTAAACTCTGTCCCCAAACGGCACTGCTGTGCCTAAGTGAGCAGCTCCTCCACACTTCAGCTCTGGGTGTTTGCAGACTCTGGGGACTTCTAGCACATCTGAAGTTCGATGAAAAAGAGGCTTGACTTTTACAGCCAAGCAAATCTAACAGGATTCAAGTAAACAGCAGCCATCAAGGTTTAACCCATCACTGGGAAAATGAGAAACACTCTCTTAAAAAACCACCAACATCCCATTTCTGTAGTACTGTATTGGGCAACGAAGCTGGGTCTGGAGCACAGGTCTTATGAGGAGCAGCTGAAGGAACTGGGGGTGTTTAGTCTGGAGAAGAGGAGGCTGAGGGGAGACCTCATCGCCCTCTACAGCTCCCTGAAAGGAGGGTGCAGAGAGATGGGGATGAGCCTCTTTAGCCTAGTAGAAAGCGACAGGACAAGAGGGAATGGCCTCAAGTTGCACCAGGGAAGGTTTAGACTGGATATTAGGAAGTATTTCTTTACAGAAGGGGTTGTTGGGTGTTGGAATGGGCTGCCCAGGGAGGTGGTGGAGTCCCCATCCCTGGAGGTGTTTAAAAGTCAGTTTGACTTAGCGCTTAAGGACATGGTGTAGTTGGGAACCGTCAGTGTGAGGTTAACGGTTGGACTAGGTGATCTTCAAGGTCTTATTCAACCTAGATGATGCTGTGATTCTACATGTTTCAGCTTCCTGATTTGTTCGTATTTTAAACAGAATGCCTGTTACCAAGAGACGGAAAAGACACTATGGAGTTCAGCTCTCATGTATCCTTTTCACTTACTTTTCCTGTGACTAGATAAAATGGCATTTTTTTTAAATTTCAGAGTGTTTTGCCCATTTCTGTCATTGCAGAATCTGGCTCATTGATTTCATGCAAGTCTCTCTTTTGATGCATGTAAGGGACAAGTAAGGCTTTAACACCACCCTGCCAAAACAGACTCTACTGTTGTCTTTTAGCCCTGACATAAAACTTTTTTTTTTTTTTTTAATGTAGTGAATGGGATATTAACACCATAATACATTTTCTCCTAGCTAAAAGACAAAGGAAAGAATGCAGTGCTTAGATATGAGAGACTGACAAAGTAGTTAAGGCAACTTCCAACAGTTTTCAGACATCCCATGAATGCTGCTAATGGTTTAATGACACAGAAAGAGGAATCTGGTTCTGCTGTATCATGTATTCATCTGCTATGTGGTAAAACAGACGAACAGGTCTCCAAGATGTCTGGGCCTGAAAAACCCCTGGACTGCTGGAGGAGGGCACTGATTTGCACCTAGAGGAGGCTAGAACAGCACTTAGGTAACCTACAGTTGGGAATAACTTTGTAGATTTTTCACTTTTTCTAGCCTGCCAAACCTGAAACCAGGAGTGCTGCAGGATTGGAAATGGTCCTTGTGTGGTGTGAAAGCCAAGCTCTCTTCTGCCAGGAGAATATATCAGGTGATTCCCGATGCTGTTTCCCACCTCCTGTTTTCAGAGTGTAAGTTGGGTGGATGGTGGAGTCCAAGGAGAAATCACATCTCCCCAGTGTCTGGATGCAGCTTGTCTTTCCACTTCACGTCCTCTGCTAAGTCTGTGCTTGAGGTTTCATCACTACCTAAGAACTCCTAGGACTTGGACCAAATGAAAAAGTGCAAATTAGGGAAAATTACTGGAGAAACAGAGGAACATCTCTGCTCCTCTGGGGAGAGAATCTGACTCCCGTGGTGAGACAGGCTCACAGCACAAACATACACATTGGATGGCCCAGCCTGCACCACACTCCCATGACCAGAAGCACGCACCATGCATTATTTCAGGCAAGTAACTTGTTGGGAGTGGTTCATGCTTTGACAACTACAAAATGACAGAACAGAAATGCTCTGTAAGTTCACATCCCAATGTCAAATGGGAAATCACAGAAAATACAGCAGCACTGCACCTACTATTGCACCAGCAGCATGTCCCCTGATGTGTGCTAGAGACTTATTCCTCAATGGTCATTCAGGGCCTTAGCTTTTGCCTGCCAACAACACAAGTTTTGGTTGGATCTGGCCACACCTAGCATCAGGAGTCACCTCTTTCTCCATGAGGTACCTTGCATTATGTAGTAAACAAACAGTAGTGTCACTTCAACAGGGCTGGCTGGCTCAAGGACTCAGCTCTCTGACTCTGAAACCTCATTCTGCTCCAATTTAGCAAAGTCTGATGTGTTCAGATTTAGGACATACTGTAAGGAATCTCTGTGTTCCCAGACTTCTGGGCAGAGGTATGAAGGGATTGAGGTTGTAAGGGGATAATTTTTTGTTTACTCCTGAGTAGCCAAATGGGCAAGAAGCATATTTATTTTAAAGGATTTGTTAATATTTTAAGTGTGCATGTGCTGGGAGTGATGGAAAGGCCCATTTTTAAAAGCTGATATCTATAAATCTCTGTGAAAAATCTTACAGAAAGGTTTTCTCCTAAATGGAAAGAATCCCACAGAAAACTTATCCAACATGCTACAGAATGGATGTTAAAACCCTACCACAACAAAACTGCCACTTCATGTTTATGATCTATTTTTCCAGCAACTCTATATTAATTTAGTATAAACTTGGGGAATGACGAAGAGCAACTTTTTTTGGTAGGCAGACACCCATATCTGTTTCTTAGCACCTCAAGCAGTGGTTCTTAAGCTTTTTGGACCAGTGGAGCTCTACCAGTCTTCCAACATTTCTCACAGGGCATCATACATCCTGATCCAACTTCAAACAGAAACTTTTGAAAGTCATGGGAACAGTTCCAGTCACCAACTGGTTGGTCTCACAAACTGGATCTGAAGCACTGATCTAAATAACATGGGTTGTTTTTCCACTGACTTCGAAACTGATCACAGTTTTGACAGTAAGGCAGTACAGGCTATATATGCTGGTCTATGAATGTGCACAGGGTTATGCAACAACAGCTTCATGGATTCTAAAAAAACCCAATGCTACCAAGATATTCTCTCTATAGCAGCTAAGAGTGCTGCTCCTGTACTTGGATAGACTTCTGCTGCAGTCAATGGGAGTCACCAAAGTCAAGCAAGGAGCAGTGAGTAGGTGCAATGCTGATAATAAGAGCAAGATACTCAGATTGGAACTTGTAGCTATAAAAAAGCAGCAAAAAAGCAATGAGCAATTCTGTTCCAGTGTTTTAATCACACAGCAATAAAATGTAGAAGTTCTAAGTTCAAAGAAACAAAACCCATGTTCTTTTTGATTTAAGTCTATGGGTTTCATCTGTTTGAGGCTTGCATCTGGTCCTCCCACTGTTGTTACACAGCCCTTATCTGTGTAAATAACAGTACCAAAATTGGGTCTGTGACAGTTTTTAAAGACCATTCCTCGATCTAATTACCTTTTACCCTTGGGAAAGCATCTGAATACTCTTGAGCCATATGAATCTGAAAAATTTTCAGCTAATATCACACAAGAAAAGAAGCGAGAAGGTATTCCAACCATAAACACAAAACCTTACATCTTCTGACACTGGAAACTGCATCGACTTTTAACATGAGTGATCCCTGGAATTCAATGTAGTGAAAAGAATAATACACTTTCAGTGATGTGAGAAAGCAGAAGGATATTCATGCTTGAAAAGTAAATATTTTCCTGAGTTTACATTTTAAAAACTATTAAACTCTCAATAAGGAGCAATTTTTAAAGATTTAAAGTTGAGAGGCACAATACATTTTTAAAAACTCTTTCACTTTCTCTTTCAGGGAAAAGGAAAATAAGTAAACATGCCAATCCCATGCACTTCTTCCCCGTTTGCACACATAACATGTGCGATCACAGCCACGCGTGCAGGACAATGGGGAGCGGAACCAGACTGCCACTGGCAGTTTGAGGGCACTGAAGCACCACTAAAGCATAACAGGACAGGGACTACTCTTCATGGCTACCTTCTCCCCTATAGCCAAAGCATCTTCCTTTTGCAAATACGACTGGAAATGGATGACACTGTCTAAGCAAGCAGGAACTTCTACTCTAGGCTCCACTGATCATATATGAAGGGTCTCGAAAAACAAACAGGCCTGGGAAACTGGTGGCAGCCAC